CCAACCATGCCAGAATCCTCTAAAGACCATTCTTCATGCAGTGTTTCTATAGGAGGATGCTGAACCCTGCATAAATACATTGCCGATTTCTTGGGAGCTTCAAGGGGGTGGTTCGAAGCTTGGAATACAGAAATTGGCGTCTCGGATAATAAAGATGTTCCGCTCGGAAGGATGGGGGATGGGACCAGAAGGGGGGGAGGGGTGATGTCATAAATCATTTGTGGGGGATGGGACTGGAAGGGGGGAGGGGTGATGTCATAAATCATTTGTTGGGGAGGGGTGAGGTCATAAATCATTTGTGGGGGAGGGGTGAGGTCATAAATCATTTGTGGGGGAGGGGTAAGGTCATAAATCATTTGTGGGGGAGGGGTAAGTTAATGAGGTCATAAGTCATCAATCATTTGTGGGGGATGGGACCGGAAGGGGGGAGGTAATAAGGTCATAAGGTCATATGTCATCAATCATTTTTGACATAAGGTGGCTTAATTATCTCTCTCCCTCTGTATGATTTCTCACGTGACGTTTGAAAAGAGAGTTTGTGCTGTAACACTTTCCACAGGTCATACATGAGAAAGGCTTGCCTGTGTGAGTGGTCATGTGATAATTTAAAGAACTTCTTCGAGTGAAACTTTTTTTACAGGTAGTACACGAGAATGGCTTCTCCCCTGTGTGAGTTCTCATATGACGTGTTAAATCAGATTTACATCTAAAGCCTTTTGCACAGGTGTCACATAAGAAAGGTTTCTCACCTGTGTGAGATCTCATGTGATAAAGTAAACTAGCCTTGTTTCTGTAAGTGTTTCCACAGGTTGTACATGTGCAAGGCTTCTCGCCTGTGTGACTTCTTATGTGACACTTTAATAGAGACCTTTTACTGTAACATTTTCCACAAGTCACACACGAGAAAGGCTTCGCGTCTGTGTGAATTCTCATGTGATTAAGTAAACTAGCCATGTCACTGTAACCCTTTCCACAGGTTTTACACTTGTACAGATTTTCATATTTGTGAGTTTTCATATGACGTGTTAAATCAGATCTAGTTCTAAAGCTTTTTTCACAGGTCTCACATGAAAAAGGTTTCTCACTTGAGTGGGTTTTTATGTGATAAAGTAAACTTTTCTTGACACGATAACTCTTTCCACAGGTTGTACAGGTGAATGGTTTCTCTCCGGTGTGAGTTCTCATGTGACTATTTAAAAGATACTCTTTACTGTAACCTTTTCCACATGTCATACACGAAAAAGGCTTATCGCCTGTGTGAGTCCTCATGTGATACATTATAGCACTCTTTTCACTGTAACCCTTTCCACAGATTGTACATGTGTAAGACTTCTCATGTGTTTTCATGTGACGTTTTAAAAAGCATTTTCTGCTGAAACCCTTTCCACAGGTCATACATGAGAAAGGCTTCTTGCCTGTGTGTAAGGCCATGTGATCAATTAAAACACATTTTTCAGCGAAACTTCTACTACAGATAGTACACGAGAAAGGCTTCTCGCCTGTGTGAGATCTCATATGACGTGTTATTTCAAATCTAGTTACAAATGTTTTCTTACAGATCTCACATGAGAAAAGCTTCTCACCTGTGTGCGTTCTTGTGTGATAAACTAAACAGGTCTTTGTACTAAATCCCTTTCCACAGGTTGTACATGTGTAAGGCCTCTCACCTGTGTGAGTTCTCATGTGATAAGCTAAACTCGGTTTGGTACTGCAGCCCTTTCCACAGGTCGCACACGTGTAAGGCTTCTCACCCGTGTGACTTCTCATGTGGCATTTCAAAAGCGATCTTTTATTGTAACCCTTTCCACAGGTCAAGCATGAGAAAGGCTTCTCATCAGTGTGAGTTTTATTGTGATAAATTAAATTACTCTTGTCAATGTAACTCTTTCCACAGGTTGTACATGTGAAAGGCTTCTCTCCGGTATGACTTCTTATGTGACGTTGTAAACGATATCTTTGACTATAAATCTTTCCACAGGTCATACATGAGAAACCATTCTCCGCTGAGTGACTTATTTTGGGTGTGTTTGGATTTGAACTGTCAGAAGTGCCTTTCTGCTCTTCAGTTTTCTGGCCCCCCTCATTTTGTTTCTGCTCTTCGTCTCTTCCTTGGTTTTCAGAACTGTTTCCTTCCTGATGTTCTTCAGAGTAGCCATGTGAGATAAGCTGGTCCCTGTTTGGGTTCCTTTCATTGTTGTTTTTTTGCACATAAGGAGGATTCACCAAAATGTATTCAGTCTCCTCTTTTAGCACAACCTGCTCT